TTGGAGGCGTTGGAAGCCATCGCTAGTAGGTTGGAGGCCATCGCTAGGAGGTTGGAGGCCATCACTCTTAGGTTAAAGCCCTTGAAGGGAGAGCGCCATACCGGATGACCATTGATTTCATACCACGAAAGAATCTCATCCTCCCATTTGGGACCTATGTTTCATGAGGCTGCCTGCTACTCATACGAGCAAAGTGTTGTGGATGTCACGCGCCTTCGGCCAAGTCGGACTGACATGACCTCTTCAGCCCAGGCATAGTCAACCGCGTAAAAGCTGAAGAAATCGCAAATCATCCTGGTTCGCGGCAAGGTCGAAACGAGGTCCAACGGTCAAAACGGGCTCGTCACAAGGGATGTTGATAGTTAGTTTGCAGGGCAGAAATGGACAGAAACATAGAGAACCCCCCTTGCATTGGCAAGGGCGAATTCAAGTCCAGGATTTCATCTGTGATTGCTTGTGCCGTTTTGCTTGCTGTACTTCAAGCTGCTGACTCACTGCATGCTCTAATGAAGCGTGTCCAGCCAGCAAAGAGCTGTGAGCAAGTAACACTCACAATACTGACCACTTCCAATGCCAACATATATATCTATATATGTATATAAAGACATTTCAATGAAGTTGGTCTGCTATTAGAAGGCCCTATTAGAAGGCCTGCCTCTCAGGCAACACCAAGGCTTTACGCAGCCCATGTCTAAAAATCTCCAAATTTAACAGAACAATTCTCAGCGCAGGAACATGCAGGAACCTGTCTGGCTTGGCTGCGCTTTGTGTCCTAATCTTTCAATGCGCCAACAAGTTGCCATTCGTTTCCACATACACCGGCCAATGCGGAAGAAGCATCTGCGAGAGACAATTGACGAAATTGACGGGAGGAGTCCATTTCGTCCTCAATCCAACAATGTGACTCGGGATGATGCAGGCATCCCCGATAATACGCAGGCTGGGACGCCTCCCCTGCCCATTGTCTTGTCTGTACCAGTGTGCGTTTACGGATGTGGCATGATGTAGCCAAACCGCGTTCACTTGAAAGAGAACAATCAAAACATAAGGGTCAGGGTGACAGTACGCTGCGCTGGAACTGGACAGCGTCAAACAACACCTAACAAAAACACATGGAGACCGGGGCAAAAGCACTTCCGGAACAGCTATGGCATGCTGAGAGGACCCGTTTTGACTGCTACCAGCCTTGAGTGGAGATTGCGGGGGCGCTTACAAACATATTCAAGGATATTGTTGGTGATCAACCCTGATTAGCTCGATTATTTAAAACGAACACCAAACCATTAACTTATAATTGATAGTGATTTTAGCCAATCGAACAAACAAAAACACACACACACACATACAATCACAATATATACAGTATATATTATATATACACATCCAAATGGGTTTACTAGTGCACAATGCCGCTTGTTAACGTGGTCTTGCATTGTTGATTACTGTATCGGAAACTTTGTGCGGCAAGGACGCGTCCTCAGCGCGCTTGTTTTTGTCTCGTTAAACAAAGATGTTGATTTCAGAGCTGTCCTAGTGTTTCTGAGGGTTCGTTGCGTATTTTGAATACTTAACTTCACTCAGATCTTGATTTGTATCTCAAGGGGGTTCGGTGTGGGGGGTAAATGGTTGCCTTCGCGTCGTGTTGCGCACACGAAATAACATGTCATTAAAACCCGTCTGGCTGTTGAAATGCTTTACATAATATATAACTATAAAGTAATTGCATTTGTTTAGTCGGAGGGAGGTCTTCACGAACTTTTCGGGGGTTAGGAGGTGCGTCTGGCTTTTCGTGCCACCCCAACATGATTTTGGGGCGTAGCACCATTGGTGTATATGACTTTAGTGGAAGTCCAAGACACCATGGTAGACCTGGACAAGAATCAAGAGATTTCTATCAGTCGGATGACTCGGATGACAGACTTTGTCGAGCAAAAATGTGTTCACGAACTCGTGTGGTCAGGCAAACGCGTTCACCGCCCCATTTCACATTCTTGAGCGTCAGAGTTTTGAGCGTCTGTGTAGTGTGTTTTTGAGCTCAGCGTTCCATTTCACTGTGCTCTACACACAGTGGGGAGGAGCCAGCGAGTGACAAAAAGACTCACAGTCTCAAGTGAATATGTAATTCATCAATAATCAACACTAGCTCACTAGTTCCAACACTTCTATTTTTTGGTGCATACAGGCACCCCCATAAAGACCTGGCAGCTAAATTAAAACAACCTCAACCGTCAACCTCAAATGTGTGTCCCGGCAATTCACCGGCAATGTTGTGACAGTTCACACGAACGACGCTTGGGGCAAGGCACGTTTTGACATCATCCAAAACCCAATCAGGACCAAAGCCCATGGTAGGAAGAACTGGTAGTCGCCAGTTTGGGTGCACCTGCAAGAAGAAGATGACCTTAGCTGCTAACAGGGGCACAGCCGCCCAAGCATTTTTCCAGCTCTTGGTTCTGGCGTGCTCAAGCAGCTGTGTGATTCCTCCACCACCACCGCCACTGCAAACAAGCCACCATAAGGGAGAATGCATACCTGTGGAGCAGTTATGGTGAATCAGTTGCCTTGCTCTAAGGCCTGGTATACGGCCATTAAACCGCTTCAAGCAAAGAATCAAATAATATCTGCGCATCCTTTATGCCGGCACAAATCTTATCTCAAGGATCAAATAGTGTCAAGCTGCGAGGACAGATGATGCGATAAAGCACCACAAAGCTGGCTTCCCTTTGCCCAGAGCCTAGCAAAGCGAGGACACCCAAGACCTCTTTAAAGCTTCACTGGAGGCAGTTGTGACTGTGACCTCAACCCCCCACATCAAACCCCGTACTTGACCGTTGGCATTATACTTTTGGACTGAAACAAACATGGAAGTGGACAATCCATGACAATCCCAGGTTTGTAGAGGAAAATAGTATTCCAGGACCCCAGGAGGCCGTTGTCCACTTCCATGATTGTTATATAGATATTGTTAGATAGTGATAGAGGGTACATACTCGTCGGAAGCATGTTTATTGGACAAATGACGCTCGTCCACCTCTCTGCTTCTCGAAAGTGAAGTGACTCTTAAGAGCGAAGGCTCAATGTTAGTTGAAGGCCTCCAATGACGAGCACACTGATTCAGCCACAGAAACTTAATACACACCACGAGCTGCTTCACCAAAGGGCTCATGTTGGAGTAGGCCTGTGCCAAAGGGGGGGCGTGTGTGGCGCCAGGGGCTCGCAGAAACGCCTTCACTTATGTGATTCAAATCTGCATCTCTACAAGAGACATGGACCTTCCAGCTCCATGGAGATCTGGGATGTGGTTGGCTTCAATTTAGTAAACAGTAAACATGCATGGGAGTTGATGCGTTGATGCGAGCAGAACATGGGCAATCTGTGCGGCCAAGACACCTTCAAAAACAGTGTGTTCCTTGGTGCCAAGTGCCATGGACAACTGATCTTGTGGGAGGTAGAAAGGTATCAGGAGGCAACTTGGCTACTCCCCACAAGATACCGAGCAATGGTGGGTACACCTATATCTAGCAAGAAGTGCGAGTGCTTCTTGGGAAACAGTTCACTTTCACACTCCCGGAGGCTGCCATCACTCCAAGCAGGCAGGGACCAAACTCCTGTGAGCTGGAACCTGCAGCTCAAACCTGCGCTGGTGTCCTGCGCTGGAACCGGGTCAATCATGCGACATTCAGCATAAGCTTCTGCAAGCCATCCACGTTGTGACCTCAGCAGATGTGCCGGGCGAACAGCAAATGTGCGACTGCGGGGTCGGCTTGCATCGCGGGGTCGCTGAGATCCCAACAGGAGAGGTCCTTGGCCGCCAAGCGCATTGGGTCCACCGGTGAAAGTTGATGCGTCGTTTTCTGCCTACACTGTTTGGTCATCAGGAATTCAAAGGATTTATGTCCGAGGTTGTTCATGTTGATTGATGTTGTCCATTACGATCTTTCCGGAGCAGCTTGTAGTCTTAAACAACCAGAAAAAAGGAAGTGACCAGCTTGTGTCATGCGTCCCAGCCAAGAATCCGTCTGTTTCCGGGCCATTCTGTATGGACCAAAGTGACACATCACAAATCAATTAACTTGGAAATACATGAACTGCACAACACGGACTCAATTGGGAACGCATGGTAACATGGAAAGCGGGCTGCCAGACTTTGCCAAGAGTCCACGTTTAGGCAGCCAGCAAAGCGAAGCTTCAAGCTTGGAATTTGTTGATTCCAACTCTCCTGTCTTCGACGAGCAGCTATTTTTGTGTCAGGACTCGACCTTGTTTCCAGCTCCTACAGCGGAATCCTCAATGTTCTCTTGCTGTAGCTGCAATGGGTGTTCCACACATTCTCTCTCACAGAAGTACCCACTGCCCGAATCCAGCCGACATCAGCCGACTGTTTCGGGATAGGCCGACAGAAGGCCCGTTTTTTCAACGACTGGGGGGGCTCTGACTGCAAGAAAGGTGGCAAAAATAGAAAGCCGCTGATACGAAATTAATATGTTTCTATGTGTTTGAATTGGTCTTCCGCGATGATCTTGATGCATGACACTGCCCCAAAAGCAAGGAGCAATCCAATCTAGCAGCATGACAAGTTGGATGTACAAGTGTCAGTGTCAGCGACTAATCCAAATAAAGATCACCAAATAGATAGAAAAGTAGTAGATCACCACGATCAGAATGTATTGGACACCCCCCCTTCCATCAATTTGGGGCCCTGGATTGAAACCACCGGCTGGGCACAGGGGCCATACAGGCCTCGATCAGCTCCACACTGGGCTCCATCCGGACCAGTGGCATCAACTTCCTCATGTGGCCGCAGGTTCCCCGCAGATTCCAGGCGGTCGCTCTTTTTCGAAAAAAGCTTCGATCGGAGATGCTCGATGCCTTCTGCCCCACCCCCGTGTCCGCCCATCGGGAAGGTCCTTTCTTCGGAAACGGATCCCGGGAGCCAGGGATCGATGCCCCGACTCGAGTGGGAGTAGGTGAGGAAAACGACATGAGCCAACTAATCAGCTAAGAGGCATCTTCAACTCTCGTGTGGCCAAAACACTATCTTGCATGCCAACGGAACTGTGAAAACCTCAGCTGCGGTTCATGCAGGGATGGAGTTGGAGGATCTGCAAGCGGAGACGGACTTTTGAACGGATTTGTTGGCTACCCGAAGGCGATTAATGCCATTGGTGCATCAGTGCTGCTGAAGTTGATTTGAGAGGCGGGCCTTGTTTGTTTGAATAAACTATACACAGCCGAACGTTCACATGTGTTCACGACATGTTGCCCTGTTGCCCTCACAGCTGGTTTTGTGGGAGCATCGTATACTACCAGTTGGGGCTTAACCTGGCATCAGGAAGATGTCTGCCTGTTCTGTCTCTCTCACCTTCGTCCAGCTCTTCCACCGAGCAGCAAGTGACGTCGAGGTCACCGGACGTGGCGCTGAAACCAGTGGCCGCGCTGCCAATCGCGTGGAGCTCCCAAAACTCCCCCAGCTGCCGCACGAGCTCCTGCAGGAGAAGCGCTGCAGGTCATGGGTCCGCAACACCGAGCGGCACGGGTCCTAAACACAGGGTCCTAGTCGTCGTTCTTCACAACAAAAGAGCAAGTACAAAGTTGCAATAATAGAAGCTACACCGTAAAATAGCCTCAAATCGCCCAAGCAAATCTGAGAAAAGGATAGAAAAGGCACAAGCATGAACATACACTTCTAAAGCCCCCCATTGCCAACACAGTTTTTCACAGCCCAGCACTTTTCCTCTTGATGTCTATGCGCTAATGGGAAAAAAGTTCTACGGACATCTATGACAATTTGTGTTCACGTTCCACACAGCGCGTCACGTCAAAATGTTCACCACTTCCACTTGCGGAAAGGAAAACTTTGCTATGTCTGTCTGTGTCATTCGTGGGAAATGGCTGTTTTGATTCATCCAAACCAGAAATGGACTTCACCCTGATCCAAACATGCCAAAGAGTGTAGATATATCAAGAGTGATGCAGTATGTGGATAGGAAAAGGCAAGTTGGGAATAAATGAGGAAAGGTGGGAATCACAATGACAAACATGGTAAACAACGAATTAATTGTATAGTAGAAGCCAAAACCATTTCCTAAACTGTGTTTATCATGTGTTTCCATTTCGTCTGCTTATTTTTTCGTAAATAACAATGATATACATTATATACACTTTTCTCTAATATATGTGTCCCAAAGTTCTTTACCTGCTAGTTTTGCAACACAAATAAGCTCTGGACAATGGCTATATGGTTTAACTAATGATGATGTTTATGCACACCATTCCCGGTGTGTCAATTTCACTGTGGAACTCCAAGCATGCATTACATATCTGCTGGAGTTGATGTTATTGGATGGTAACACCTGACAGCACCTGACTCTTTTTAGCGGCGACACACAAATTATACAGTCATATCATATATCAGCATCATATCAGCATATCATATCCACGTGCTGCCTGCACCAAAACTTGAATAATGATACCGTAGGACAAGGAAGCCATCGCTCTTAGGTTGGAGGCCACCAATCTTAGTAGGTTGGAGGCCATCATTATTAGGGATGTTTCGCCAACTTCTCCAACAAGAGCGGCACAAAAATCCCAACCAAAGCTTCAGCGGGCTCCTTCAACTTCTGAATGCATAACCTGGCTGCAAAACACCACTCAAAGGTGTACCTAACGGCCTGTGGCTGTAATATCTGTAATACAATTTCTAGTCATCTCATGTCATCTCTAGTCTTGTGAATCTCAAGAGCCTGGTGGACAGAAGGGCCACCAGAAACGGACTTGGGATGCAAGTAAATGACATGCTGATTCATGATGATGGCTATCTGAAGAGCTGGATGGACTATGCATCCGAAGAACTGGATGACTTTCCTCTCCTCCTTCGTAATCTCATTCCTCCGCAGCATATCCTCAAGCAAATCCACCGCTTGGGTCCAGTTGCTTCGCAACGATGTGCGGCTTGATCACCACATATCGCCACCATCTTTTTTCGCAAGGACAGCCAACTCTAAAGAATACTCGGTCAACAAAGGGGAGCCCTCGACATCGCCGCTTATGGCTAAGCCAAGCTTCCCTCAAAACCAACTCCAATCGGTTCACCTCAATGGCAGACCTGAGCGGACGAGGCCCCTCCGGCCTTTGCTCAGGTTCGTCGCAAAAGGTGTTCCAAATGCAAACAAAAGATGTTCCACATCGAATTGACATTTGTCCTCAGGGTGGAGAATCACGGTCCACCAGCTTCCAAACAACTTGTATGGCTTAAAGACGCTCCAGCTCTTCACATGTCGCTCCCAGCCTTGCACAGTCGATCGGGCCGAAAAGTTATTGCATGCGAATTCATGAGACCATGTCCCAAGATATCTCAGAAGGAAACTCAACAAATTGCCCCTCATGCATCTTCGAAAGCCCCCAATGATCCCAAATGAGTCACCTTCCTTGCTCTGGGTGTTTGGAAGTCAGCCAGTCAACCCCTGGCGATCACGTCAAGAAGCGGCGCAGCCGGTGAGGACCACCATTGGTGCCTAGGAGAGGGGACCAAGCGAGGATCTGTTACGGAGCACAGCTGTGCACAGTACATGCCGAATGAAGCCTAGCCTCGGCCTTGCAATTCTCGCAAGTATGAATGCTTGTCACTAAACCTGTCCAAGATACCCCATTGAAGTAAACGACTCAGTAAAGGCAAAGCCCGGTTCCATGGAACAACGGATCTTGAGCAAACCCACAGCCGCGACGGGCGGAATCGCCTCCAAGTTCGCCAGTTCGGACAGAACCCTCCACCGAACGAACGTTCGTCTCGTCCTGCAACTGTTTGCTCATGTGATTTCGTTCCTGCTCCTTGTTCCTTCATCATTCGTGCTTTTCCTCTTCATCTTCCTCTTTCTTTTCCCCTTGTCCTCTCTTCCCATGACAAACAAATCACTCGCTTCCATGAGGCCGCCGGAACAGGCCGGAGGCTTGACTTTTGGCACTTGTGACTTTTGGCTTTGGAGCACCATGCTAAGTCTTCTAATTAGCCCAAAAACAAATACTCCACACCCAAGCAACAGGGCAAGTTGAAAGCATGTTTAGCATGCCATTGCGAAACAGCGCGTAACAGCGCCAATCCACTTTACGCCACCGTTACAAACATGACAACGTCACAGCGTTGGATCTTGAATGCAGCATTTATTTCTGTTGATAGGAGGGCGTGGTCCTCACCCCAAACACTTCCAACACAAAAGCTCTCTTCCAACCCAAACTCAACAAGAAAACGCTCTGTTTTTCTGCGTCTTCTCAAGGCCTTCACGGGCCGATAGGGCTTCTTGGCCCCACTTGACATGTAAAAAGGGCTTCAAGATCGAACATGATCAAGCCATGCAAAACGCTCATGAGAGTGCATCAACACTCCCCCTAGCTTCTTTGAAGCTACTCGGCTGGGTGCTGTCACATCCGGGTACTCCTGATCCGAAGATCATTCTTCCCGCACAGATGGATCAGCTACCTTCAGCCATCTTTCACCCAGCTCAAGCCCTTGATAGGCGATGTCTTCAGTCGCCAGTGGTGTTCCATTTCGTAAGGCAGCTATGGCCGTAGCGCTAAGCACACAACAATGTCCCAAACATTGAACAGCTTCACTGTAGTGCCAACCACAACCAGCAGCTTGTAAACTCAAAACTCGACTTGGCCTCTCAGGCCTTGCAGCAACAAGCAACTCAACCCAATGCCCAAGCCATGCAACCATAGCTCACACCGCAGCCAACAATGTCCCATACACTGTAGGCCTTGTGGCCAAAATGGCCTTAGAGACCTCATGGTCTCTTGCAGACTTCCGCTCCGGCTCAAAGGTTGAGGCCTTGCTGCCTCATCTCCTGCGCACAAAGTACGCAGATGTCGTACTTTTTGTCCAGGAGTGTCGTGCATCCCGGACGCTGAAGATCTCCTCGATGGTGGATCTCGCCCCAGCCCTTGCACCAGATCGAATCGCCTCTGCGGATCCTGTTGAGATCAGGCGTGCATTGATGGCATGGAGGCGATGCCCTTAGCAGCGAAGACGTCAGGGTTTGGCACTCCTTGAACACATGGTATTTCTGGCCATACTTGGTGATGTAGACACCCAGCCTACCAACTCCCTGGTCATCATGGCCTGGTGGAGGCTCGGCAGCTTGAAAGGCCTTCGGGAATGCCTTTGGGGCCGCTTGTGAGGACTGCGGCTCCGTCGGCTCCCAAGACTCATCAGCTCGCATATCGCGATAGTCTCGTCCGTCGGGTAGTAGAGGGCCTCCTCCTCTTCAGGCGCTTCAGCCGTCGGGGTGGCCTGCTCTGCCGGGATCTCTTGCTCTGGTTCCTCTTGGATTGACGAGCTTGCCAGGATCCCAGCCTGACGCCTCTCTTCGATGGAGAGTGAGGCCATCCATCTCATCAACCAACTTCTATTCGCTTCTGCGAACTGGATTTGCTGCTCGCGTGTCATAGGTTCAGCAGGTCCGGAGTGCGAGGTGGATGAAGAGGACGTTGTATCTCCTTCTGACTTCCCCTTTTCTTTTCCTTTTCCTCCTCCCTTTCTTTTTCCTTTTGACCTCATGCTGTGTCTATTGACTTCTCGGCCTTGGTTGTCCACTGTAAGCGAGCTCCCTTGAGAAGATGACTCGGAACTGAAGAAACGAGGTGGTTCCGGTGCCGGTGGACATGGTTCTGGTCCTCCAGCTTGATCGGCTCCTGGTGCCCTTGGAGTGGTGAGCCAAACCATCAACCTTCTAAGGAACAGCGTGGCGAGGATGACCAAAACAGTGTAAATCATCATGAAGTACTTGAGGGGCTCATCATCTCTTTCACCTTGGGCCTTGGCTTTCGAAAGGATAGCCATCATCACAGCCAACTGAAGGGCGTTTCCAGAGATGGGATTGGGACATCGTTCCCCTTTTTCACAATCCCTTTCCTTCATGCTTACCGCCTCTGGGCCTTCCTCCTTGGTCTTTTCTTCTTTTGGTCTTGCCGCCTCTGGGCCTTCCTCCTTGGTCTTTTCTTCCTTTGGTCTTACCGCCTCTGGGCCTTCCTCCTTGGTCTTTCCTTCACATTCCTCTTGTGAAATCATCATCATCAACTCTTTCAGCTCTTTCGTTCGCTGAACTGTGAGAGCCTTGGTGCCCAAATCAGCGATCATTACTGAACCTGGAAGATGTCGAACTCTCCAGTCCAAATTTGTAATTCGCCAGCGAACATGCTGGGCTCTGAGGCGAAGGTGTCGAGTTCGCCAATTGGCATTTCCATCGGCAAAGAATCCGGTGGCCGCCAAGTTGTCCACGAAGAGGGTCTTCTTGTACAGGTCTTCGTGCTCGTTGATCAAGCAATCAACAGCATCTCCTGTTTGGAGGCCCTCGATGGCTTCTAGGAGCTCGGATTCAGCCGTTGATAAGGCCGGAAAGGCCTGCTTTCCACTTTTCCAAAACATCATGAATCCATTCCAGGTGACCATCACTGATCCATGCGCAGCTTGTGTTTCAGGATTGGCTGCGAAGCTGGAGTCCGTGAAGACTTCTAAGGCCCTTGGTCCTCCATCCCAACCTTCTCCCTTTTCTTTTCCAAACTTCAAGCCCTCATTCGGCGTGTTCTTCAAGTACTTCCAGACTTGAGTAGCTTGTTCAATCACCCAAGCCGGGTGGGCAAGGATTTCTTGGGCGCAGCGACTGGTGGCATAGGAGATGTCAGGTCTTGTTCTGGTAGATAACCACATCAACTCTCCAACCAGCTTTTGGGCCTTGTTGACCAACTCCGGTGTTGGTTCTTCGGGTGCTGGATGAGCATCTTTGTTCATCGGAACCTTAATGTGCTTCCCTCCTTCCACCCCTTCTTTATCTTTGATGTAATCTTCTTGGGATGCAATGAACTCACCCTTTGAACCTTTTGTGAGCTCCATCCCCAAAAACTTCACCTTTCCTTCCAACCCCAATTCTTCAGGAGCTGAGGTCTCCCATTCTTTCTGGAGAGTCTTCGTGATGACCTGGATGGTGGACGCTTCGCCGACAATCATCAGGTCGTCGACATAGACCAGCAAAAAACCTTCCAGTTGTTCGTCTTGGCTGCCTTCTTCCATGGGATCACCTTTGAGAATGGCCCAAAGATTTGGTTCGGCAGCCGATTGGACAAAGTAGTGGCTTTCTTCAGACCTCATCTTCCGGAGAACACTGTCCCGGTGCAATCCCCAACATCGTGGTGACTGCCTGAGGCCATACATGGCCTTTTGTGCCAAGTAGTACTCGTTGTGCTGCACATGGCCAATCTTGATCAGAAGAGCTGGAGGCTTGAGAACGACCATGGTGGGGACATCTTGCTCGTTGTCGAGCGGCGCACACTCTTATGTCCATAACAGAGGCCTTCCAGTCTTCTTCTGCTGCTCTTTTCAGGACGTAGCGGATGCAGACTGCATCAGCACCGGAAGCATACAGACAGCGATCTTTCTCTTCTTCGCAGGTTCGATCGACGAAGTTCCCACAGGCCACCAGCCGGATTTTTCTCCGAGGACCAGGCTTCAGGGTGATAACCACCTTCGATGGGACCACTTCGAGCCGCTTTCCAAGTCTGTTGCAGCTGTTGGAACTCCTTTTCATTGATTTTCTTCAAAGCTTCCTTTTCTTGATTTTCTTCAAAGCTTCCTTTTCTTCAAAGAGTTGATGCAGCTCCTTTTTGATCGCTTCATCCCACTTTGGAGCTTCTTGAAGTACTTGGAGGATCAGCCTGGTTAGTAAATGTTTATCGTGGTTATTACACATGGTATGTACTTAGTAACCTACTCATATTTGGCCTAAGTATAGTTAGTAACTGTTATATCTTTCGTAAGTGCTTGGGTAACTTTATTATAGTTATATAAGTACTTACCGGAAACTATAAGTGATTAGTAAGTACATCAAATTTTATTCCAGTTAGGTAAAATTTAAGTCGCCACTTATGGCAGTTATAGTTAAGTAGCATATGTACTTACACAAGTTATAGTTAAGTAGCATATATGTACTTACACCACTTATGGTAAATGGACTAACTAAGTTACTGCTAACTGCACTAACTGACTTATAACACATACTTAGTGCACTTAGCTGGTTTGGATATCATGTTTTTTTTCAACATTGTATAGCTGAAAAACAACATGTTCGCAGCCGTGTGCGATCCCATGTTGTTTTTGGAAAGATTATTTTGCATTCAGCTGACTTGGATGCTCGGGAGAAATGGTTTAC